CCCCAAAACCCCAAAACCCCGTGTTATATTGCGATTTAAAAGTGAGAAATTTAAAATAAGAAGATATAAACCAATAATTTTTAGACTTTTTAATATCAATTGATTTTGTGAAATTTAATGTTTTAGATAGCGCTAAAATTAATTTCTTTGAATACTTTAAACAAACAATAATTTTCTGAACATCAAGACTATAGCAAAAATGAGCAAAGGTCAAGCACAACAACAAAGCGCATTCAAACAACTCTTCACTGAGTTCTTCAACCTAGGCGGTGACTTCAGCAAGGTCTCCAAGGACTTGAAGAAGCCACTCAAGACCTACGTCAAGGAATCTTACCCCCACTTCCTCGTTACCGATGGATACTTCTTCGTTCAACCTCACTTCACCAAGGAGGCCGTCGCTGAGTTCCACCAGAAGTTCCCCAACGTCAACATCGTCGACTTACACGATAAGGTTATTGTTATCAACACCTGGTCCCTCGAGCTCAGAAGAGTCAACTCCGCTGAGGTCTTCACATCATATGCTAACCTTGAAGCCAGATTGGTTGTTCACTCATTCAAGCCAAATCTCCAAGAGAGACTTAACCCAACCAGATACCCCGTCAATCTCTTCAGAGACGACGAATTCAAGACCATCATCCAACACTTCCGCCATCAGGCCCTCCAAGTAAGAATTTCCACCCTTTTATACTTCAAATTTATTAATATTATCTGTATAGTAATCCATTGCCAAGAACACTAAATAAGAGTCACTTCCAGATATCTCAAAGCTCTCAGGTGCTGATGCTGCTGGCAAGAAGACCAAGGTCGATGGAGGTATTGTTAAAACCGGTGCTTCCAAGGGTGACGAGTTCGCAGACTTCTCATTCAAGGAGGGCAGCACTGCCGTTCTCAAGATCCAAGACATCTTTGTCCAAGAGAAAGGCAAAGATGCTCTTAAGAGAATTCAAGATGCTCAAGTCGACAGCGTTCAAGCCCAACCAAAGGTTAAGGGAGGTGCTAAAGGCAAGAAGAAGGCCGCCACCAAGTCAGCCACCAAGAAGACTGTTGCTGCCAAGAAAACTGCCGAGTCTGCTGACGTTAGAAAGAGCGTTGACAAGATCGTTAAATATACTCCTAACAAGCCATCAAGCAGAAAGGAGACCCCATAAAAGAGCCAATCTGCTCCAGCTGCTGGCAAGTCATCAGCCAAGAGAACCACCACCGGCTCAAAGACCAAGATCCCAGCCAACCCATCCCCAAGCGGAAAGAAGTCAACCAAGACTACCGATCAAATGACAATGGCTCAATTCAAGAAATACCTCGACTGGCACGAAAAGAAGAAGGGTGGCAAGACCTCTTCAGGTGGTAAAGTTCTTGGAAAGAGAAGCGCTGGAAAAGCCTCCGCTACCTCAGGCAAGGCTTCAAAGGCATCAAAGAGATCCAAGAAATGAATCTAACCTAATTCCTCGTGTGATAAATGCTGATGTTATTATACTAATTCTCTTAAATGAGTATTTTCATAACACTTAAAAAAACTCAGTTTCTTTAACTCACAAATTATTCATGATGATTTTTGAATGGCTGGCTATTCTGGTATTCTAGAATAGGCTATTCAGGATGACACTAACTTTAAATTTTAAGTCTCAATCACATTCAATTAAAAGCTCGTTCAATGAGGTATAATGCCAAATTTATATATTCAAATTTAACGTCAATGTCAAGTTCAAGTCTGGCTCAGGGGTTTTGGGGTTTTGGGGTTTTGGGGTTTTGGGGTTTTGGGGTTTTGGGG